TTTCCCCCTTGCCCTCCCCTCCCTTTGCACCCTGTGGCTCTTGCAGGAAGCGTTTGGAGCCTTCTGCTTCCTGGGGAGAACCCACACGTCTGAAGGCCTCTGGTGCAAGCTGGGGAACACCCCAGGCTGTCTGAGAGCCTGTCAATGCAGGCAAGATAGCCAGGGGTGACTGGGCACCCTGAGCACCCCTGTGCCATGGGCTCTGTGGGCAGCCAGTGTCACCTTCCCACTGGTGCCATGGCCTGGGGACTGCCTGGCACGTCTGCAAAGTCCCCACAGGGCAACAGAGTTAATCCTCCTGCCTGCTTGTGCAAGGCACTATGGTTTTTTTTTTCCAATAATATTGAGGAAGGTGTCAGATCCTGTTGCCCTCCTGAGTGCCCAAAAGTGTCAGAGTGACTAGAGGGTGGCAGTTGGGTGCTGCTGGGTGTGCAAAGCCCATGGACACCAAGCCCTGAAGCTTTGGCTGCAGCCCAGAGAGCTCCTGAGCTCTCTCTGTCCCAGAAGTGACCCCGAGAGCATGGAGAGAAGGAGAAGGGCTTGTGGAGGAGCAAGGTGTGCAGGTGGCCGTGGCCTGGGGCTGCGTGCAGGGACCCCCAGCAGCAGTGGCATCCTCAGGCTGTGGTGGTTCTGGTTTCCATGCAGCCCTTTGAGCAGAGCACGAAGACTGGTCTCTGTGGGCCAGATTTCCTAAATAGCTGGAGTGCAGTTGCTCAGCACATGGAGCTGGGGCCAGATCTTCAAAAGAGCTCAGTACCCAGCATTTAGCTTTTTGGAAAACCTGACCATTTATTCAAGCATCTAAAAGGGAGCTGAAGCATTCCAGAAATCTGGTCCCCATTGTGCAGGCTGAATATGTGCACATGTCCACACTCTTACATAGCACCAGCAGACTGCTCAGTTAGCTGCTGGAGGCTCTGCACTACAAAGGGGGAGTTTTTCAGCCAGGATTTTGAAGCTGGAAGATGTGAGTTTGATGGCTGCCATCCCAACGAAGCTGTGGGAGGTTTTACTGGGGAGTTTTGTCCCTGTGGTGATGGGATGTTTCTGCCTTTCCCCATGCACGTGTGGAGGTTCAGCATCAGTAGCCAAAGTGGCTTGGGCTTTGCCTTGTCCCATCCTGACCACGAGAGGTGAGGTTAAATCCCTGCAGGGCTCACTGCTGCCTGCAGCACTGTCTCTTACTCCCTCCTGTTGCAGCTTCATGATTGTAATGCAGATCTGGATTGAAATCCAGGCCTGAAAACGAGAGAATAAGCTTTGTGGTACTCAGAAGGTTTAAGGACCAAGGTTTGTGGAGTTATTTGGCAAAATGTGTTGTCAGGAGGTGCCAGGCTCCTGTTTTCCACTTCTGCCTTCCATGAGTGGCACTGGCAGGGTCTGCAAGTGGGCGAGTGTGTCCCTGGGGGGTGGGGATCCCTGACTTGGCTTTACTGAAGCTTTGAATGACTTTCTGTGAAATATCAGCAAGTTCCCTCGTCCCCTGTGCCCTGGTTTCCCCATTTGTAAAATGAGATGGAGATATTGAACTCCCTTCAGCTTGTTGAAACTCTCTGCTGTGTGCTGTTAAGTTGTTACTACTGCTGGAATAAAGAACACTGATGGGCACACAGTCTGTGGGAAGCTGCTTCACTAACTAGGCCACAATTTCCCCATCTTCCTGTCTCAGAAGACCCATGAGACTTGGAGTTTATAGCACGAGAAGCCCCCAAGTATTTAAAACATTATGAGATTTAGTAAAAGTGTAATTTGAATTTGTCTGTCGGCACTCAGTCTGGAGAAGTGACATTTTCAGGCTTTCCTCACTCCCTGCCAGAGCTGGAAATGTCTGTTAAAGAAAAGGGGGAGAGAAAGAAAACAGAGATTCTTGTAAAATACTCCAGCCCTAGGAGCAGAGGCTTGGAAAGATGCACCAGACACCAGGAGACCTGAGTGTGGGTTGGGCACTCAGCAAGTGCAGTGAAGCTCCAGGGTGGATTTGCCTCCTTTTTTTTTTCCACCAGCTCATCCCAGTGAAGCTTCTGAAGCATCACTGCAGGTTTACACCCTGGAAGTGGTGTAAAATTCAGGCTTTGCTTGCACGAGGAAGCAGTTGGCATCTTTCTGGAGAGTCAGTGGGATTTTGAGGTGATTGTTGTGCTCTGAACACACCTTTGGTGCAGACTGAGCACTTCAGCTTCTAGATGGCAAGAGCCTTGACCCAGAAGGGACATTCTTTCCTACCAAAAGGTGTCAGGGATGGGAGGATGGGTTTTTACAAGCCTACGTTGTCAGTCCTTTCACCCAAAACATCTCAGTTTCAGCACAAACACCCACATAGCACCACGTAGCATTAACCTCCTTGGTTAGTCCAGTCCCCAGGAGGATGTAAAATCAAGGCAGGCAGGACTTGGTGTCTCTCAGGCCATGATTTCTGTCTTGGTTTGCAATCTGGAGGATCCCACGTTCCTGGGGTTTCAGCAAGAGAAAAAACAGGATGAAGAAATCCAACTAAATAGTCTGTTAGCAGAGATGGACCCAGAGCAGCTGTCTCTGTTGTGGGGGGAGATGTGGGGGGATCTCTAGGTCAGGTTCCAGCCTAGGTTCTGAGATGTCTGCTGGCTGATCTCTGTCCCTTTGCACCATGTGCTGACATCCAGGTTCTGCCATGGTGGATCTGAGAAACCCCTGAAGAAGGTCGAGAGGGTAAAGGGGCAGAGAGTCCCTTTGGGGGAACAGCAAGAGGAGGGCTTGGGTTTTGTGAAATCAGCCAGAACTTGTTAAATCCTTCCCTATCATCTTACCATAAACTGATTTGGGGCTTCTGTTGATATTCTGCACTCCAGATGTTGACGACAGCTGGGGTAGAGATAGTGGGATGCTCCCAGGGCTGTGGGGGAAGGGATCCTGGGCTCGTGTGGGTGGGTGGAGAAGGGAAGAGGAGTACGAGTGTATGGTTGTAAATCCAGCCCTACACACCCTGCTCGCTTTTCCCTTACAACTGCTGCTCTCAGCAGAGGAGTTCCCCTTCCAGCTCTCTCTCCTTTCTTTTGCAGAGTCGAAAGGACAAAGAAAGACCTAAACAGAAGCACAAAAAACGTCCAGAGTCTCCCAGCAGCCTCACCCCCTCCTCGGTGCCCGTCGCTGCGGAGAAGGTACCGAGCCCACGGGGTGGGTTGGAGCCCACCCCCCTCTCTGCCCATCCTGGGAGCTGGGGGGGAACGGGGCAGGAGAGCAGAGGAAGGGGCTTTGGGGCAGTTCATCTGGAGTCCCTATTTGCCACGTTCTCCCTCTGTGTGCCCAGCTCCACCTCGGTGCCCTCCGTGGGATTTCCACACTGCAGCCATGCTGGTGCCCGTTGGCACTGCTGCCAGGCGTGGAGCTGGGCTGGAGGCACCAGATTTTCTGTTTGGCAGCAGATGTTCAGACCTGAAGCTCCCACAGGCCAGATAAATATCTGTGCTTTGGCCTTTGCTGCTGCCAGTTTGCCCACAGCTCGGGCAGGGGGAGAAGCAAGGCAAGGCTTGTGGGAGGAGGGTTGTCCTTTATCAAACAAACTGATGGAGCTGGGGGGGAAGAACCTCAGGCAATCTTAGAAGCACAGAAAATCTTCAACGTGCAGCACAGAGGCAGCTTTTGTGAGACAACAGGAGGTGGGTTTCTATTTAGCTCCTTCATTTTTGGAAAATTCAGGCAGAGGGGCACGTTTGTGGCATGACCCATCTTGCTCCTGAGGAGTGCAGACCCTCCAGGGTCCTGCTGGGAAGGTGCCACACGTGTGGGTTTGTCTCCTCAGTGCCTGGAGCTGGTGGGGCTGGTGGGGCATGGCCAGGACATTGGCAGATTGCTGCTGCTCACTGCTGAAATCCTGCTGCCCACGGGGCCTCCTGCACCTGGCTGTGAGTCGGGGCAGCCCTGAGCCTTCCTGCCAGCCCCAGACTCCAGGAATGCAGGGAAGACACCATAGAACTTGCCTCCAGCTTGCATGCAAGGAGGTGAAGGCCAAATCTGCAGTCGGTCGGGGTCAGGGAACAGCTGAGGTTGCTCCAGCACCTCGACCTTTGGAGTTGTAGTGGGAATGGAAATTCATGCAGCTCCTTAGCAGGGATGTTCTGGTGTAAGTGAGGGTAGGGCCAGGGCCAAGCTTCTGCTAGAACAAATAAACACGTCCCAGGAATGGCCTTTTGTGCACAGAAATGCTCCTTGGAAAGCTTTGGGTGTCCTTTTTTGGGGCAGGCACGCCTTGTGACAATGAGCAT